CAAGGCCTTATGGCTTCACCAGCATTCATAAGAGGCAAGAAACGGGAGTGAGGAGTTTTTCTCTTGCTTTGTAGAACACTTTGCAGTTAAAAAGCATATTCTCATCCGAGTCTCAGCACGATTCTTCAACATAGGAAAGGCAGGGCTAGTGTCTCCATTGTGCAGGGAAAAATGAGGCCAGTAAACTAAAGTGATATGTCCAAAGGTCATATGACTCAGCAAGACAGAACTGGAAACTTAACTCCAGTCTTCTGGCTCCCAGTTGCCTGCTCCAGTATGTATGTGGGGTCTCTGCTTAGACCAGGGGCACCCAGGCTGGGACTCAAGTGGTGAGTGAGAACCTCTAGACACTTTGTGGGCTGGGTAGCAAGTGACTTTCAGAGTTTATGGATTTCATTTTGTAAAAATACAAGATTGAAGTTATATTAGTAGGTACTGATTCATCCTTGCGCCTTTGTGATGGTTTTGAAACACGCTCATGAATTCTTTGACAAGTCCTTTCCTCTTGAAACTGGGCCTGCCCTGTGACTGCCTTAAAGAATAGAAAGTGGTAGGAATGATGCTATGTGACTCCTAAAGCCAGCTTAGAAAAAGTCATGCCACTTCTGCTCATGTCAATGACACTTACTCCGGGGTTCTAGCTGTACGAAAGCTGGCTACTCTGAACCCACTCTGGGGAGGGATCACATGGAGAGACTAGATAGATGGCTAGATCTATACACGGATAGATGAACAGACTAGTCTCCAGCTGTTTGAGTCTTCTTAGCCCCGGCTGTAGTCAGGTAAATGAGGAACCCTTCAGGATGATGGTAGCCCCAGCCACTGTCTTTCTACAGCTGCATGGCAGACAAAGCAAGTTGCTGAGCCCTGTCAACTCAAGACTGGTTCTGCTTTAAGCCACTGTTTGGGGTGGTTTGTTACACAGTTATTGCTAATCAGAATACACCCTATTAATTTATTTAATAATAGTTCATATTTATAGAAAAATATAATAGTATCCTGTAATCTGGGACTCCTTCCTCCATGCTCTGATTTGAGCTCTATGTCCATATTCCAAGCAAAATTATTCTTTTGGTGGCAGTGACCCCAAGATTAGAAATTATTTCTGGCCCAGAAACATAAATGGCTTTCATGAAAGATGATGGTTATTTGTATTATTAATGAAACCATACTAAACAAATTAAGGCCTTCAGATTCTTCCTCTTTACATCCTCTCCTACCCCAGATGAGGAAACTGAGGCTACGACTTGCCCCAGGTTGTACAGTTGTCAAGTAGAGGAGGTGGGACTCGAACCCAGGTCTCCAGGCGACCAGATCGATGTCCTCATTACTGCATTTCATCACCTCCTGCCCTGAACTGGAAACAGATTGTGCCATCTTTTGGACCCAGAGCAAGGACCAGCCTGAGGCAGAGAAAGACCCTCTAGGGCAAGCCAACAGGTCAAATCAGAGTGGAGAGAAAACAAGTTAGTGTCCTGCTCTCTCACCTACTACTAGGTAGTATTTGACTCTAGGACAAATCGGAGCCCCATCCAAGCGAATACATTTGTGTGAACCATTATTGAAAACAAACAGAACCAAACAAAGGCAAAACAAACTAGGTTTTTCTTTTTCATTGAAAGTGTGAAACAAATGAGAGTTGCCTGTGTTCTTCATTATGAATTATATGAGGTGGCCAGGAAAGATGTGGGAGTTGAAACAGACCTGAAATTCTCCCTCCCCAACAAATCTAATAACCACCAAAGTTTTGTGTTTTTTTAAATCAGGCAGAGATACACCAGCAGCTCTCAAACCAATAAAGGAGCAAATGTCACAATATACATTACTTTGCAAAGTGCTGTCAAAAGCAGAACTCGACAATTCTTGGCATCATCAAATGCCTTTTCCCAGAAGCGGAGCAGACAGGAACAGAATGGGGAGTAGAAGGGTGTAGACTGGAAGCTGAGTGGACAGATTCTGACAAGTATTACTTAAATCCCCAATTTTAAAGAAGTAGATGGGGATGGGCAATTCCAGAAACCCTTTCTATCAACACATCAAGGATAAAAACGAACTTGAAGCCCAGTATAAAGAAGAAAATGAGCATTGCTTACAACCTCTTTCCTTAGTGATAACACTACCATAAAAATTATCCTGCATCATTAATAATTGTCCACAGATATCATTTTTAGGAACAATATAGTATTTGTTGACTATGCCGTAATTTATTTATTTCCTTATTGCTGATATTTTCCCAAATTTTCAATATTATAAATAATACAACATTAAACCACATTGTGTCCTATCTGTGTTCTCCAGAGATATGCTTCTCTCTTAACCTTCCCTTGTAAACACCTAGAAATTAACTAGGGCAGAATTTGATAAAGAGAGTGAATACTCAAGTTGTTATGCAAGTTACTATATACTCATATATTGTATTACATACTCATGTTGTATATACTCATATAAAATTATGTTTATAATATAGTAATATATAATATAATATAATAATATAGTAATAATATTATAAACTCATGTTGTTATGAAAGTTTCATGTTTTTGTGAAAGAAGTTAGTAAGCTGGTAAAATGTAAGTATTATATTATATTATGTTATATTATGTTATATTGTTATATTATTAGAATGTAATTTTACCCTAGCTGAAAGTCAGTACATTTTGGAGCACTTAATAAACGATATATTAAAAAGCTGGAATGTATTTGTAATATTATAAAGAAGGCATATGTTTCTATTCTCAATCAACTAAAAACTCCAGAAACAATAGGTTTTGGAAAACAAAACAAAACAAAACAAAAATACATAGAGAGAGAGATAATCTTATGGCCCAAATACAAAACCAACCACAAAGTATCATGATTTTGTGTACTTAATGAAGTAAAAAACAAAAAAGACCCACCTGACCTTGACATTGGAACATTCCCCTCTGCAGATCTTAACATAATACTTGCTTCTGTAGTAAATCATATTCACATCATCTTTGTACTTAAATACTGTTTGTTCATTGGCTTTCAATTAACAGAATTAACTTACTGACAAACATGGAGGGTAAATTTACTAAAGAGAATTCATGTGCTATAAACCTCGACAATGTTAAAGAAGTGATATAGCTGAGAGATGGTGGGGGGTGGAAAAGAGAGATGAAGCAGGAAGTAGAGGAGTATTAATTTCCTATCTTACATAGTGGAGAATCAAGAATCACTAGCTATAATTAATGGGTCAATAAATAGAGACTGAATTTTATGTAAAATCATAAGCTTAACCAGCAGAAGAAATAAAAATACACAACAGCCAGTGATTTGGAGGTGAGAGAAGGGGGTGGATAAGGGAATAAGTTATTCACCTGTCAAACAATGAAAAGTCTGTAAGTAGTGCATCAAGCTAATAAATGCAGACACAGGTGTAGTAGTAGGTTATTTAGCAATATTGATCAAGGTGAATACCAGAAGAAACAGAAACATTCAAAAGAAGATACTTATTAGGAGAAAGACTAGAAAAGATATGAGAAAGAAGACTTACTTTTTATGGCTTTCTATATGATTTGAATTTTTATTTCTAAGCACCTGTATTTTAATAATTAAAAAGCAAAATAAGAAAAATACCAAAGGATTTTAAAGTAATAGTTAGATAGGTATCTTGGGTCAAAAAAATAATTGTGTGGGTGATTTTTCCCCTCTGTTTTTCAATTATACTGTAATGTGGTTTTTGTTTTTTCCATAATGGAAAAATTCATGAAGTCAAGAGAGAAATGCTTAATATATTATTTTTTATCACATGGTGGTTAGAAGTTGTAGGAAATGGGGATGACTAAGCAAAGAAATTCATCTGGAATATTTGTGGGATGATCCTACAATAACCATGAAGGCCAGGCTAAGCTGTGTGACCTTGGGCAAGCCATTTAACCTCTCTGAACTTCAGTGTCCACCTCTGAAACATAGAGGAGTTAGTTTTAGAAGTTCTCAGACCCTGTTCAGCTCCCATAACTTCTGAGTCTCTGAATTTTTAGCAGCCATGAGCATTGCCATTGAGATCATGCAACCCAGGCAATCTTGACTGGTACAAAAATGGCTGGGTTCTGTTTTCCGTTGCTGAGGGACTGAACAAGATTTCTAGTTGAAATGTGAAGCTGTGAGGTGCTGGAAACCTCACGTTTCTCTAATAGAATTGCAATTGTTCATTCCAACAAAGTAAAGTCCGTGTAGATTAACCCTGGCGTTCACATAGCAAAAAGCCAAAAGTCAACGCACTGAGGGCCAAGGATGTGCCCTAAGCCCTGTCCAAGCCCTCAGAGAAACCTATAATCATTTGGGCTGTGGCCTTGAAGAAAGGTGTAAGTCATCTCTGTTTTGCAAGAAAAGCAGGAAGTGTGTTGAAAGACATAACCACAGCAAAAACTGTCACATCAAGCTGAGAGGTATCCTTTAAACATGGGGAAATCATGCACCACCAGGAACCCAGATGGAAGGACATCATGCTGCCTGCAGGGCTAAACATCTCTCCACAACAAAACAGAAACAGAAAACGGAAATCCTCATGGTGTGATCGTGTAACAAATGGCAATTCGTTTGCTTTTTGTATTTATAGTGTCTGAAATTATAGTGGGGTCAAGTTTGGAACAGTTGAGAGGCAGTAACTAAGGAATATCCACAAGTCGTTAGTAGAGAGTCTACAATTTGCCATAGGATGCGTATGGTCCCTGGAGAAGCAGCAGCATCACCGAGACGCTTTTCAGATTTGCCAAATCATAGACCCCCCAGCCAGACTGGCTGAATCAGAAACGCCCTTTTACTTAAGTCTCCAGGTGACACATTTGGGCATTAAAGTTTGAGAGGTGCTGGTGTACAAGATCTATGAGGCCTGCAGATCTGCCTACATGAAAAACTGAGGATTTCATTACAAACAAGGTCAATTCCTGACCCACAAAAACCTATCAACAAAGATATTTGCTGTTGTTGGTTTCATCATCATTATTATTATTAATTATCATTATTTCTCCATGTACAGATGCAGAAACCAAGGTTAAGTTCAGAAGTACTGGGATTTACTAAAAAGCCACCAGAGGCTTGGAGAGAAGGCTTGGATAGGTAAGAAAATTGTCCAAGATCAAAAAGAAGTAAAGGGCAGAACTGCGGCTTGAAACAAGATCTCCTCACATCTCACTGTTACTTTCCGTTGCCTCCCTAGAGTTAAATGTTTTCAAGTGATTCACTTGAACAAATTACATCCAGTTGAGAGCATGTTGAGAACCGTTCTCTAGAATGTCATCCTGCGGAGTTTTTCTCACCCCTCACCTGACCATCTCATTGGATACAGATGGGCTAGGAGGGACACTTCCTGGAGTTTTGTACCAGAGGATATAACCCTGCTAGACAGTGAAGTTTGAGTCACCCAGTGCGACAATCAGCCCTAGAAGCAAAGCCTAGAAACGCCCGTGTTTAAAAACAGAAGGCCAAGGCTTCCAGGAAGGATGATTTATTTTATGACGCCTTAAGGTTTCAAAATGATTGTAGGCCCCATCACTTACCTCCTCTGAGCACACCACCATCATCTACCCTCTGCCACTCTTGGGTCTGGAGACAGAGGTGGTCGGGGGTGGAAGCAACTGCAGCTTGCTTATCAAGAACCTGGGCTCCAGGACAACCCTGGTCAAGGCTTCCTAAAACCCTCATGGTATGATTTGGGGAAATGAAGTTTTGCTGAGAGCCATGCGTGCTTTTCCTGGACGCAGGGAAAGGAGAAGTGGGAGAGCCCAGTAGCGAGCTCCTCAGCAGTCCTTCTTAGTCCCACTTTCTAGATGACCCCATGTGGGAATCATCTCTATGCGCAATAATTAGATTGAGCTGCCACAATGGGAAAATGTGTAATAATAAGTAGTGGCTTAAACCAGTGCTTCTCAAACCATCACGTGCACGTGAGTCACCTGTGAATCTTGTTAAAATGCAGGTTCTAATTCAGAAGGTTTAGCATTTCTAACATGCTCCTGGGGGGTGCTCACACTTCTGGTCCACAAAGCACACTGTGTAGTGAGGGCTTCAACAAGACAGAAGTTCATTCCTCACTTGGGTACAGAAAACTTTGAGGCTGACCCTCCAGGCTATTTGGGATCCACAGCAGCATCAGAGACTCCAACTGAGCTCTCTGCTCCTCCATCTCCAGCCTGAGGCTTCCCCCCTTAAGATCACCTTGCCATCTAAGATGGATCCTGGAGACTCAGCCAGTCCATGCTCCAAGCCAGCAGCGAGAGGAAGTGGGGGAGGGGAAAAAAATGTTTCTACAGACAAGTCAGCTCCTCTGAAAGATTTTTCCTGCAGACCTATACCTTCTGCTTCATCCCTTCACCACCTCCAAGCTGCAAAGAGGCTAAAAATTAGGTTTGCTCTATTCTGCAAAGATGTCAGCAGCCCAGGCTCTTTCTGTCTTGTTTCTTTGCCAGCTGCAGTGTTGTCCTCATCTGCACTATCCAAGATGGCTCACAGCATGTCCACATTCTAACAAGTGGGAAAGGAAAAAGGACCCCAGGGGACATGCCCCCTTCCCTTTAAAACACAACCTAGAAGTCTCACGGATAAGTTTCACTTGTATCCCACTGGCCAGAACATGATTATGCAGCCAGAATTGGGTGCAAGGAATGCTGGGAAGTGTTACTTCTATTCTAGGCAGCCGTGCCTAGCTAAAAGTCCAGGGTTATAGTGTTGAGAGAGGATGAATAGTAGGGGACATCTCCAGTCTCTGCTGGCTGGATCAGCTCCCTCTGGAATCTGGGGCTCGAGAAGCCAGAGATGATTGTCTTCCTGAGAGTAGGAAGAGATGGAGGGTGATACACAGAGAGATTCACAGCCGTGAGGCCCATGAGAGAAGTCGAGAGCATGGGCAGGTCCCAAACTCCCTGGAACACCAAACACCGCTCCCACTCCTGCCCTCACAGGTGGATGTGAGGAAATTCCTCTCAGGAAATCCCTTTCTCTTAAGGAGCCTGATGTACTCAGAAGTCTTTGCTACATGTCCAGGATATACAGAGCTGTAGGAGATAAGTTCTGAGCAATGTTTTAATCATGGTTCCATTTTCCAGAGGAGAAAACTAAACCCTAAATGCTTCATCATCTGTCCTCAGGTCCACTGGCCCTAATCAATCAAAGAAGGAAAGATGCATCAGAATCTGTCGCTTTCATCTTCTTAATTAGTAAACAGAAACAAACCATTGATACATGATGCTATCTGGCTTCCTCTCTGTGGAAAGGGCAGATAGAGATCTCAAGGGTCATGTTTGCTGAGACCACAAGCTCAGGGTGAGTCAGCCGGTTGGTAAACAACAGAAGAGATGTGAGGCTGGGACACTTAAATGGACACAGAGCACCAGACACACAGGCTCTCACCAAGGTTCCATGTGTATGAAGCCCCCCTTGGAGATCACAGCCCAGGAAGCCACAGTGCACACAGTGGGGCCACGGACACATAGGAAAGTAGAGTGGGGCCAGGACATAACTAGCACTGGGGGGACAGGATTAGCCTTAGGTCCTGAGGGAGGAAGTCCTTCCCAGAAGGCAGACATGGTTATTGAAGCAGATGGCCAGGGTGATACCTTGCCTGGCAATAAGACTTTTAAAAATAAGAATCCAAAATTACTTAACAAGCCTTAACTGATCTACAATATGCATGACCCAGTTGTAGGCAAGCTCAGAGATGCAGAAATCCTGCTAACCCAAAGAGTGGGTGTCTGCCAGACATCTCAGCCACAAGCTAACTGCACTGCAATACTGAGGGTCTCCACTTTGGCCTAGATGGTCCTCAGGTTCAGATTGGGCAGCATCAGGAGGGCAGAGTAGGTGACTGTGATCCTTTACAGCCAGCACCAGAGGTCCCAGCAGCAGCACGGGGCTTCAGCAAGGAATGAAAGTTTGGTCCTGCAAAGTAACTACTGACTGATGATGGTGGACAGATTAATCAGCTTGAGCCAAAAAAGGCCTTTGTGGGCTGTATAACTAGACTGCATAGAGTGCACAGCTGGGTACAGCTGGACCCAGGGACAACTGGATTTAGAGATTCAGCAGTTGATTCCTCTCTCTCCACCTACATCTTAGTCAGCTCAGGTTTCTATAACAAAATCCCATAGACTGAGTGGCTTAAATAGCAGGCATTTATTTCTCACAGCCCTGGAAGCTGGGAAGTCCAAGGTCAAGGCACTGGCACATTTCGTTACCACTTCCTGCCTTGCAGACAGCCACCTGCTCCTTATATCCTCACAGGGTCTCCTCTTGGTGTGAGTGTATGTGGGCTCTGGTGTCTCTTCCGCTTCTGATAAGTGCACTAATCCCATCATGGGGGCCACACCCTCATGACCTCATCCAAACCTAATTACCTCCCAGTCCCCACCTCCTAATATCACCACACTGGGGATCAGGACTTCAGCATGTGAATTTGATGGGAGGGGGCACAAACATCCAGTCCATAAGAACCTGTGTCTCTGATTTTCTATGCATATCAGATTCATGCTCGAGACTCAGCTGTTCCCCACAAGACCAAAACCATGTCTGCTTACAGCTTTGAAAGTGTATCCTCTCTAATTCTGGATTGAAAAAATCTCTGGGAAGTCTCCTGATTGGCTTTTCAGGCCCTTTGCCCTTTCCTGGCCCATCACTTTGGCCAAAAGGACAAGGCTATTATGACCAGCCCAAGCAGGTCACATGCTCATCCCCACGACCACATGATGGCTGGAGTGGGGAAGAAGCTTGCCCCCCAGATGGGGAGTGCTGTTGTAGGCAATCCAGACGACAAATGCTCATTGCAAAGGGAGCTGGAAGTGGAAAGGGGTGAAGTGGAGACTCCTGGGGGTGCCTAGAAATAATTCAAGGGACTGGAAGGAAGGCCTGGAATAACATCTTGTAATTCAAAGAAATGCTATTTGTTACTATTATCATAGAGGCTGGGGTGCCCTGGGACTCTGATATCTACAATTTATTTTGAAATACTTCAGCACTGGTAGTGTGATCTAAATGTTATTCAGTCCCTTTTAATCTATACCCTAGAGGAGGCCAGTTGCCCTAATGAGGGCAACTCCAGTGGTGGTGATTAATCAGAAGGCCACACACCAGAGGAGCCCCCACATGTACTTCAGCTACCTTTATCTCTAATCAGCGCCAGAGGTTTTGTTCACTAGCATAATGAGTGGAGAGATGGGTTTTCATTGGTGAAGCATAGAGGAACCCCACAAACATACGGAAACAGGGTATTAGAATCTGGTGAATCTTTACTCCTTCCCTGTTAGGAATGTTGCCCACCGTGCAGCTGCCCGTTCTGGAGAATGTGGGCCAATGGTGAGTCTGACTAGATGTTTCACCAATCGCACTATGCACAGGCCCACAGAATCGCACAGCTGGAGCTTTGGCAGAAGTGGGAAGCAAGCCCTCATCTTATGACTGCTGAGCCACACAGCACGGGTCCTCTTACAGCCCCATGATTCAGCAGTTCTCAAATCTGGGCTCAGAATAGGCAGAGATGAGGTGCAAGCACCGTGCAGTGATGGCCCAAGAAATTGTGGCCACACTCAGGGCCTACATTCACACGGCTCCTTGACTAGGAATCCAGGGTAGAGAGGAGGGTGCTGAGATCCTTTGCTCCCACTTGGGTGGGGCCCCCATGAAGAGGAGAGACACAGGCCAGCAACAGGGACTTCTCACCTGGGCAGACCCATACGTGTGCAGGCTCACACATGTGTCTGGGCCTCAACCCCGACCACAAAGGAAACTACAGCTGACCCACGATGTTACAGTTCTGTGGGGCCACAGTGGGGAAGATGTGTGGTGCCGAGGCTTGCGCTTAAGATCCCTGGCTGCGACACAGGATCTGGCCTTGCCTCCTAGCTTCAGAACACTGCTGATTCGTGCATCCACTTTAGAGAAGTCACCCCACTGAGAGGTGCTTTCAGTTCCCATGTGACTCACTGGCCTTGTGATCACCAGTCCCCTCTCTGCAAGCAGGGACTGTGGTTGACGTGAGCTCTCCATAGTGACAGAGTGTGGTGGTCATGGGGTCAGCAAGTGACCAGTCTAGCTGACTCTGTCTTTTCATCCTTCCAGCTGGGTTGGACTTACTCCAGCAGAAGCTATTGTGCCCCCCGGGTGGGACCGGGATTGGGCAAGTCTAGAGGGTAGGTGAACACAAAAGAGTGAGAAGGACCTGTCTCCAGGGTCTCCAGCCAGGCTGTCAGCACCACAGAGGAAGCAGCCAGAGAGAGCCCTGAAGCAGGGCTGGGATTCCCTGCAGAAAGCAGGAAAATGCTCACGAGGTGGGCAGACGTTGCAGGGGAGCAGCCCCTTGGCTGCGCAGGAGGCCTGTGGAAGTGAACAAGGAAGAGCTGTGAGGTGGTAACTTTTCTTGATAAAGACCTTAAAGACCCAGCAGAGGGTCTTGTGCCTGTGACTTCCTGTGGCATTCAGGGACCTCCATAATAGGAGGGAGAAAAAGATACAGGGTATAGACCACCTGCATTCTAATCTAAGCTCAAGATCCATCACTTGGGTCACTTTGGAAAAGTTCTTGACCCATCTGGGCCACAGTTTCTTCATGAGCAGAGTCAAGCAAATGGATTTCAAACTGGGTTCCTTGGAGCCCAAGGGTTCTGCAGACCTACCTTAGGGTTTGCCGTTGGGAGAGAGCCTGTGCTGTCCAATTCAACTATAAAATAAGCCACACATGCAATTTTAAATTTTTTAGTAGCCACATTTTTTAAAATCTAAAAATAGGTAAAATTAATTTTCATAATATCTTTTACTTGATCTAATGTATCTAAAATATTATCATTTCAACATGTAACCAATTTATTACATTAAAAAAATTTTTTTAATGGAGGTACTGGGGATTGAACCTAGGACCTCATGCATGCTAAGCATTGGGGATTGAACCCAGGACCTCATGCATACTGAGCTATTACCCTCCCTGCTTATTACATTTATTAGTAAGATATTTTACATTCTCTTTTTTCCTGCTAAATCTTCAATATCTGGCATGTGATGTGTACTTAAGCACATCTCAGTTGGCATCAGCCACATTTCCAGAGCCCAAAAGCTAGAGTTGTGTACCTGACCTGTGAAGAGGGAAGCAGAATCGGGCGTTAAGAGAAGACCTCCACCTGGTGGACAAAATAGGAAAGTACTTGGGAGATTGAAGGATTAAAATGTTTTTGGACTGAACTGTCACATTTATTTTCTTGATTCAATAATCATGTGTAACATCTATAATGTATGCATAGCAAGGGCCTTTGGAGAGAGCACATACAAATCAGATAAGCAGATCAAGGCCAAATTCCCGAGGAATTTAGGAGAACTGATAACAGACTCCCTCACTTCTGGGAAGAGAGAGTGTGGACTATTTTTTCAAGGAATTTTGCTGTGAAGGGGAGGGGCATGCAAGGGATGCGGCACAGACTCAAGGGTGTTTTAAATGGCAAAATATATTTGGACAACAGTACAGGCTGCAGAACAATTGTCATGATCAGAACAAGGGAACCAGATGCATTCAAGAGGCAGAAAGCAGAGCTGATCAGGAATACAGACCTTGGAGCCAGCTTTGCTGCTTCCCAGCTGTGTGCTTTGGACAAATTACTTACCTCCTCATGCCTCTGTTTCTTCATCTATACAATAGTACCTGCCTCTTGTGTTTGCAGTGTGATGAGTTGTGTTTGTTGTGAGGATTGATTCTTTTTTCAAAATAACATATATCAAATGCTGAGAATAAACATAAGAAAGTAGCTTTATTGTATTAGCTATAATGATTCCTATATAATGGCCCTATAATTAGGATTCCTTTAGAGGGGCAGCGTTTCCTGTGAGTGCTCACACAGGGGTCCACCTTTTCCCCAGCGTGTTGAAGTTCGAATGCTATTATGTGACAAGTCTGAGAATTCTCTACTCAGAAGTGACAATATTATTTCAACAGAGGGCAGTGGCCAATAACATATTTCTCTAGCATCTTCAAACTGAAACTGCCGAGAAGGCTGGCTTCCTGATTTGGTGGGGACATTCAGGACCCAGGCAGATCCAGCCCCTAGTTTTACCTCCTTCCTAGGGAAATATGTGAACTTATCAGGATTCACAATTCTGTCTTTTCACTTTGATGCTGATGATTCAATGATCTCCTAATTTTTTCTTTTTCAGAATAATGGCTACCATCTGTTGAGCCATTACTAAGTGGTAGTCACAGAGGAACATCCTAGTCCATTCCAACTCTGCAAGGTGAGTGTCTTCCCCATTTTACAGCTGAGAAAACTGAGGCTCCAGTGTCTTCCAGATTTGCCCAAATTACAGAATGACCTGGAGCAATTGTTTTACATACAAAACCTGAGCCCCTGAGCAGTGGTTCTCTATCTTGGCTAAACCTAGACTCATTTGGGTGGGAGGGGATGGAGGAGAGCAACTTTTTAAAAATCCTGGCGGTGCCAGCTTACACTCCAAGCCAATTAAACTGAAATCTCTGGCTGTGAGACCCAGACATTAGTGTTTTCAAACTCCCCAAGTGATTCCGTGGATAGCCCAGACTGAAAACCACCAGTTCTAAAGATGTGGTTCTGGTCCCCAAGCTCAACTCATCCTCAGTATCACATCTGGAACATTTTTGCCAGCTGCTTAATTGAATGTTCCGCAGTCGTTGGTCCATGCTGAGTCCTTCTTTATTTTGTTTTGTTAATTTTCGCCTTCATCACTCATCCCAGCCCATTCCCTTCCACACTCTTAGGTACTTCTCCCTCTCCAGTGTATTAATGTATATTCTTACTGTCCACTTTCCACCCAGAATGTATATTTATATTCTTGAAAACTCCAGCGTGCCTGCGTTTGGTTTACATAAATGATATTATGCCATAAATGTCATTTGGAATACTTTTTAAAATTCAGCCTGATGTCTTTGAGCTACAACTGTGCAGCTGTAGTAAATGTATTTCTGATTGCTGCCTTGTCTTACTACATGTGCATGTACTGCATTTTATGTATCCATTCCCCGGTGACAGACACCTAAGATGTCCCAAGTCTTTGCCGTCAAAAACAACACCGCAATGGGTATCTTCCCACCTGTCTCCTTATGGCCTGTGCAGGCTTTCTCTGGATGAGGAACCCAAGAGTGGAACTGCTGGATCAGAGGGTATTTGCAGCCTTACCTTCTCCCAGGTTGTCCTTCAAATGCTACATCAGTTCACTCTCCCACCAGCCTTGCCTCCAGAGTCCTCAGTTTCTGCATTCTCATCAACCCTTGATATGCTGACTTTCTAATTTTTGCCAAATATATGGGCAAAAAACTACGTCTTGCGGCTTTAATTTGCATATACCTGATTGCTATGGAAATTTCCTCATTATGGACTTGAATTCAAAGGGCTGTGCAAAGGGCAGCTTCCATCCAAGAACCGGTAAAAATTCCTGACAGATATATAGCTCTTCACCAGGTGACCATGTATTTTAGTATATCTGTTATTTCCACCAGCCCTGGGATGTACACACAGCAGACGGGACTCAGAGGGTTGAATGACAGAATAACTGGTCATCCAGCCAGTTAGTATTAGAACCAGGATGAGAATCCAGGTGTCCTGACCCTTCTCCAAGGCTCTTCCTACTCGACTGTGTTATACCCAGAGCCCATCAAGAAAAGATGGCCTTTCCCTCAAAGCACAAGTTGTGAGAGAGCTGGGAATTTCATTTTTCTGTTTTGTTTCTTTAATCAATTTCAGTGAAGTATCATTCACATACGATAAAATACACTCATGTTAAATGGGCGTTTCCAGGAGTATACACCAGTGTAACTACCACCAATCAAGATAGGAAACATTCCTGATACTCCCAAAAGTTCCCTTGTGATCACCCATCTTCCCACATAATCACCCACCCAGGCAAACTCTGATTTGCTGTCTGTTGATGTAAATTAGATTTGTCTTTTCCAGAGCTTCTGTCACTATAGATTAGATTTGTCTTTCCCAGATTTTCCAAACTTTCCTTCAGAATATGTACTCTTTTTGTGTTATTCAGCATAACGTTTGGGAGATTCACCCATATTATTGCGTATATTAGTAGTTTCTTTTTGTTGCTGACTAGCATTTCATTGTATGACTATACCACAATTTATTGGTCCCCTAGTTGGTGGACATTTGGTTGTTTCCAGTTTGGGGGTATAATGATTAAGCTGCTAAAAAACTTTAAGACTTTTAAAGACTTTTCCAAGTCTTTGTATGGAGAAGAGGGCCAGGACCAGGTGGAAGAATCTAACACACAATTAAAAAAAAATTTTTTTTATTGAAGTGTAGTTGATTTACAATGTTAGTTTTAGGTGATCCAGTTATACATATACATACATATATAT